TCAAATTGTTAGCATAATCTTTCTTCGATAAACTTTCCAATAGTCTCCCTAAATTTCAAACTATGAAAGTTGGAGAGGCATAGATAGTTAAGATGAGTTAGGTTGGCTTCATCTATTTTACTTCAGATCGTATTACAATTACATTCAGAGTCCTCCATCCATCCAGGACTTAAGCCTAGTGAACAATACTTCACAAGATCTACGAGGTCGTGTGATCCATGATTGGGTTAATCAAAATTTTGCATGCTCGCTCATTGTTAATGCGATTCGTTGCACCCAGCCTTCATGTCGCCGGGCTTCTACTACTAAGTCGATTATAGCTCGTTTAGGATCAATTGAATAATGAGGCGTTTGAAATTATGGTACTTGGCAAAAGTTTACTAGTCTTGCGAAAGAACCGTTAGCCTTTTATAGTGTACTTACAGTCACTTCATCATCTTGAGTACCTATAGTCAGTTTGGTTTACAGTTTATGTCCGTCGGACAATTCTAATTTTGAAAAATACTGTCGCGCACGCTGCTTGTGATTAAAAGTCCCGATGTCACTTAAAACTAGTAGAGCTTTTCTCGAATGTCACATGTGAGTAAGCTGCTACTTGAATTAACGTTTTAGATTTTTCTGAAGATTATAATATGGGTATGTTTATAATTTTTATCTCCCTTATTTTCTATCACTGTGGATTCTATTCTAGCTTATGTTGAAGCGGTTGCTAATATGAGGCGAGTTTTAATGTTGTCCGACTGAAGATTCTTTTCCGCTTTTAATTTTTACTTTTTCTAGACAAACGGTCATCGACTTGCTGTCATGATAGACAGCAGTTTCCACTAACAACGTCTTACTTCCTTTCTTCCGCAACTCGTTACATAAGTCGTCTTCGCGCATTATGTATAAAAACGTTACATACGATGCCTTGTTATCGAGCGTAGTATCAGGCACGAGTCTACGATTTACTTAGCTGATAACTTAAACAGTTCTGTACCAGGAAATGCCGATTATTCAAGGGTTTGGAAGGAAAGGTATGCTGTGGAAAACTAGTTAGTATCAGCTTCTAGTATTGTAGGGATTTCAGTGTCGATTAGGAATTTTGATGTGAATTGTGATAGATATGATTCTAAAGGATTTTGTTTAATAGTCTGTGCCGATAAGTCTTAAAGTTTGATCAAGTTTCAAACATATTTTATTACAATAAGGATCTATCCTTTAAATTTAATAAGGTCTAAGTTTACAAGCGATTACTCTTCAAGCTATTATTTTGAGCTCTCTCCCAAACTTTAATTTTCATTGTTAGCATAATGTTTCTACAACAAATGGACAGTGTTTATTTACATTCGGTAGTTATTTTTAGTTCGAAACAAACAAACAATCATAATTATTACTACGGCAGTAAAAGTTCGTATAGATATCAACTTTTATGGTGTATTGCCATGAACGCTACGTGTTTGCTCGTATACTAATTACTCCTGATGTTATATCTACAGTCTTATATTCAGTATTCATATTGTGAGGCAATAATAGTCTCTATTAAAATAATTATTAGATATCCGTTAACATAGCAGATGGTTTTAAAGTTCTTTATTTATTTGTTGTTGATTCTTTATTTGTTTGTCTTCTTTAATCTTTTTTTTATATACAAAACGTTGCCCCACGTTTGCATTTTCTCCTGTGTCGTGGGTGCGTTTACAAACATACAAGTTCACATACACAATGACACCCAGACCAGAAACAACAATTTTTGGATCGCACAAGTGTTGTTCCGTGCGGGAATCGAACCCGCGACACGTTGCACGGCAGCCACCGCACCAACCGTGCAATCGCACGATCGTTATAATTGTAATTTATTTCAGAGAGGACATGGTCCCTGTTCTAGCTAACCAAACCAATCCTTAACTTATTTGTTGTTTAGTACTATCAAAATATCTCTGCAACCAAAATAACTGATCTTGATTCACTTTTCAAATGTCATATGGCAAGCATTCGAAGTGTCCGCGATACGTGGTCTCAATAACCGTGCGGCCGAATTCGTTGGCAACAAATAGCTGACTTCGAATAATGCAACGTGGAAGCGGATCCCAATTGATCAATGCGTCCTCCCGTTGTCAAGAGAACCGTTGTTATGCGCCAGTGCCATCGATATTATTTTTGTGTCCCATTTTGTGACGACACAATGTTCTACAGGTTAGGGCATGTGACGTTTAGTTTGGCCACCGCATTTTTGAGAACAGCTGTGCAACTGTAACATTTTGTTCTTTATAACATTGACAAGTACTACTAATGTTGTTGAATAAAATTTATTGAATTATGCAATATTTATTTATAAGGATATAAGTAATAGGAAACATTCATGTTGTTTATAGGACGGTAACTTGCTAAACGGTTTGCGAATCAATGAATGACCCAGATCACAATATTTACAGTATACACCTGATACACGAAACCTTCGTGATTCAGTTGAATTTCAGAACTTTGCAAGGGTGCATGGGTCTTGTAATGTTTCGGCAGTATTGGTGTTTAGTGTTGGCTTAAAGAAGTCTTGGGTAGTAAAAAGCCTTTGCCTTTGTCAATGTGTGTTTAAGTAGGGGGATAAACCGAGGTTACAATATGTATTTACTAAAACTTGAAAAATGTACGCTCGTTTCACATGCAAAATTATTTAAAGTTTTTGCTACGTATAAATAATGGTTTCGTGTTTTGTAGGTGGTTCCATTAAGCACTTTAATTTGCGTGTCTTGTAATTGAACAAAAAATAGTATTTTAGTAAAATTCCCAGCTGGGCTTTTAGATTGACTTGCCTTATTTAGTTTTTACTGATAATTAAGGTAGTTATTTTAAATTGTAGTTTGTACTTAATTGTTATTTATCAACAAATTGTTGTGGAAAGTTGAGTTAACGTCAGAACTTTTCTAAAAATTGGTGTCACCCAAAATGCGTAACTACGCAACTTAATTCACCCTTCCATGACACCCCACTGCCAAGTTCACAACCCCTGAACTGTCACAACTATTGATTAGTCACATAAAAGGGCATGACGTCACAACATAGTAAATGTTTCATTAGTCGTGGGACAATAATGGGAGGTCTATTATTTTCTAATTTTAGTCGATTGTCCAATGGATTGATACAAGTAATCGATTTGTCGATATCAAACAGTTTCATGTCAGTACACCGTAAGCCGCCGGCTTGTTTAGGTTTTTCTACCATATTAGAAGGCTGATCGCCTAGTTTTTGAGTTTATTAACAGTAAATTGGTTTTTGTGGCTTTATGATATGACGCGTAGGTTTACGATAATCGTGGGGGATTTGCAAGCTTATTGTGAGCTCCTCTCTCTTTTAGATTTGCGGTTAAACTGATGTTAGTATGCGAGTGAGGATTTCTCTCAAGCATTAGTAGGATATAATACTTTATTGTTTTGTCGTGAGAAGTTCATAATCCGTTTGTCGTAAATTGGCAGTAGTACATCATACAGTGTTGTCAGTATATGTAATTGAAAATTAGAAGTGAACTTAAATCAAACGAGTACATGTGCCCTATATCCCTTCTTGGGTTATCGATTACAATCGCATTATGCAAATGTGAATTTAAATAGCATGTCAACTATCTCGTGTACCAATAAGGTGGATATGTGTTTTCACCTTCACGCACGGCCGTGCTGAGCGCGTGCGTCACGGTTCATTGCCTTGACTACGGAAAGAGATCCTAATATGGCGGGCGGCGCAGGCGCAGGATTGCCTTGCGCCGACGCAAACTGAACTCATTCCAAACAATCAGTCTATCAGAGCAGCACACACATGTAATGAGATAAACAAAGAATTTTTTTACCAAAAATGTGCTGTTCGTGGTTGAGATGTCGACGGCGAGTCGCCGACTCGACTGATAATAATGCTCCGATGGAAGCGTTTGAAAAGTCTGAATCGCCTGTGGAAGAGGCAACCGAGGAACAACAAAAGACAACCTCACGTAAGACCTGTTCATACCGCACCAATATAAACGCTCCTTATTTTGCGCGTACGCTTTTTGCACATTTTTGGAGATTTTCTTTTATTCCGTTCGCATAGATTTAAGTATTACGTCAGTATGAATCATGGATGTGCTAGGCATTGTTCAGACGAATATAGACAAAGTAATGTCTTTGTGCGAAGTCTATTTGGTTACAATTTAAAAAATACGTGTGTTCAGATTCTTAGATAACATTTAAGGCTATAAATATGGCCTGTTTATAGAAGATGATGAAGTTGACACGTATTTGAACAGATTTTGGTCTGAGGCCTTATATAAAATGTTATGGCACAATAATGCCTCCGTTGATTTAGACGGAGAATTAACACACGATTCAACAGTTTTGCATAACTCAACCCATTTGTATTGTATGCGAAATATCTGCATGCCATATATGAAGACGTGGGCGATAATGCCGTTAACGTAATGTTACAGCCTTACATTATAGCGAGGCTTTCTTTTAACATTAATTAATTAACTTGCAAAGTTGTAAACAACGATTTTGTTATAGAAGTTAAAATAAAAGAAAGCACATTAATAAATCAGACGTCGATGGCTTTACACAATTTGTTTGAATCTGTTGTGCTTTATTCAAACCTTTCCTTGTGTTCTTTAAGATATGTTTGGTTTGTATTGTAACTTTCGTGAGACATACTAAATAAATTATTATATTTTTGGCTTACTCACGTAGTAATTTGACGAGGAACTCGACTAGCATTTCACGACCCGCGACGCGGCGACTGTCGCGCTGCTACTGGCTACTCGCTCATTAATATGAGCCTCTAGCATGGCTTGAAACTAGTCGAGTTAATAGAAAATATAATAATTTATATGTTTGGTTTTTTAAGATATGGGAATTTGCTGACATCATTAAGCTGTCTGATAAGAAGGCTTATTTTTAATTTTGGTTGTAAAAGTATCTTATAAGGACTTGAGGCATGTTTATTATGCATTTCAAATATCTATATAGGCATGTTTTTTATAACATAATACTTATTGTTGACAGCAGCGCCATCCAGGGTGACACGCAACAATCAGATGCGGTTGTCCAACGCGGCCGGTGCGTACACGAACGGTCACGGCGGCGACACGACGGGCCGGCGCGGCGCCGAGAACGTGCCGCCGCCGCAACAACCGCCCCAGCCCACACCTACCAACACTAGGATCACGCAGCAGGTGAGACATAGCTGTCAACTGTAAACAATATTTCTACGTGTAATAAGACTAGAAAACTGTAGCTCCTAATTATAAGATGGGTGGGTAAGAGCGGAACATATTAGGTATTCACAAAGTGCTAATTTTATCAAACAATGTGTTAGTTAGAGTACCTAATCAAACCATTCATCATATGCTACAGTTGTTTATTTACGTTTCTTCCAATCCCATCCACAAACCTCATAGTCCGCAGTCCTGTTCTATCCTACCGTAGTTCCCATCCGTTTCAGCCGCCCCCGTCAGGCGGCCGGTCGCGGGCCGGTAGCACGCCCAGTGCCGCCTCCGTGCCGCAAGGCTTGCAGCAATCGCCGTACATGCCACATCTGCAGCGAAGGATCCACAATGTTAAAGAGGTCCCCTTTTGTCCTTTCCTTTACCTTTATCCTTTACGAACTTAAAATGTACCTACTCTAAACACTTTTGGAGTCTTCACTGTTAAAGTTTCAGCTTATCAGGAATGTTTGTGCAATCTGTAAAGTTTGTTTAGTGCGAATTTTATCGTAGACCTAAAGATGCTAGAATTGTTACAGCTTGCATAAAATTTCTTGATGACCTACATCCCTCTACATATTATCATACATAGTTCAGCCCTTTACGCATTAGCGGTTGATAACGACTAGCCACCCACCGCGGTTGACTGCTTTTTCAAGTTGATATTCAACCGCTATGGCGCTATACAATCGCTATGACAACCGCCTAAGGCTTAGGCGGTCAACCGCTAGTGCGTAAAGGGGTGCCGTTACGCATTAACGTAACCACAGGGATCGCCTAGCCGCGCAGGTGACCGCTAGTGGGTACGGCTTATCTAAGATATGTTACATAATGTTTGTAAAATTATTAATTTTGTTATTTATTGTCTGTTCCAGTTCACGGCGAGTACTGTAGCCGGTGGCGGCGCGGCGGCGCGGCCGGCGGGCGTGTCGTCGACGGTGTCGGTGCCGCACGCCGTGGCGTCCGGCGCCGTGCGACGCTCCAATGTAGTCAAGGAGGTCGAGCGGCTCAAGGAGAACAGAGAGAAGCGCCGACAACGACAGGCCGAGCTTAAAGAGGAAAAGGTTAGGAACCACTAAATACTGAAGTTATATATAATCTAGCTTTCCAACAAGCTTACCTATGAGTTCATAGGCAAGATGTGTCGAAATATTTTTTATAAAAAAAGTAGATCAATCCTCATTAGTGAACAATCCTCGAAAGAACGTAGTTGGCTGCAAATGTTCTGTTAAGGGTTCAGATTTTTCTTCTAAACTTCTAATCAAACCTTTTATCTCCAGGAAGCGTTAATGAACATGGACCCTGGCAACCCTAACTGGGAGTTTTTGGCAATGATCAGAGAGTATCAGAACAGCATCGAATTCCGGCCACTGACGGGCAATGAACCAGTGGAGGACCATCAGATCACAGTCTGCGTCAGAAAGAGGCCGCTCAACAAAAAAGAGAACTTAAAAAAAGAGGTCAGTAAAGTTATAAGATGATTGGTTTATTAGTTTTAGGTAATCTTTTTAATGTTTTGGTAATAGGAGAAATGTTAAATCTCAATTTCATAGTGTATTATTGGAACCAGATAAAGGCACGGAAATCAGAAATAAAACCCTAATCGTCGTCCAAATTAGTGTCCTTAAGTCACAGACTCGGTTATGAAACTAAGGTACAGAGCGTCTTACACTGTCAAACACCGCGAGGACACCGGTGACCGCAACCTATTGTTCTTTAATTGCGTCTATAATGACGGTGCTCAAAGAGTTGTCTGTCTGGATAACTAAATAGTGACAACTTACTATTAATTTATGTATATTTTTATGTTCTACATTCCAGGTGGACGTAATCAGTGTCCCGACAAAGGACCAGATGATAGTGCATGAGCCCAAGAACAAGGTGGACCTCACCAAGTACCTCGAGAACCAGAAGTTCCGGTTCGACTACGCTTTCGACGACTCCTGCACAAACGAAGTTGTCTACAAGTTAGTTCCGAGTCTAAATACTTTGTGTGACTGATTATTCATATGATTTGAGCTTAGTACTATTTATTTACTATAAGTTGCGGTTTTAATATTATGAATCGAATAATTAGGCTTTCGAGTTACCGTGCATGAGAGACAATACCAGACTATATGACTATATAGTACATTCCAACAAGCTGAAGTTAAATATATGATATTTTATTTTGATCTGAAGTTCTCGTTTGGCAGTCAGGAATGATATTTAGTTCTTACAGGGTCTCGTTCTCGTTTGGCAGTCAGGAATGATATTTAGTTCTTACCACGCAATATTGATTTGATGTTATACTTATAATGTTACCAGGTATACGGCTAAGCCGTTAGTGCAGACGATATTCGAGGGTGGCATGGCGACCTGCTTCGCTTACGGACAGACTGGCTCCGGCAAGACGCATACCATGGGTGGCGACTTCCAGGTATATTACCAACAAACAAACAATTAATGTTTCTTTTTCCATTTGTTGTCCACCTCGTTGTACAGTTAGTTTTTGTATACTGTGTTCTAAGTAGTTTACTTATTTTATATTTATGTGGTTTTACTACGGCATTACTGGCTTATCTGATAGTTTTAATTACGGGCCTGACGTAGCCCGAAATTTGTCGAGCAACCCAATTGAACATTTATTAATTTATTTATTGACATTGATGCGGCCGCTGACGAATAGGTTTTCGTCAGTGGCTTTGTTCTTGTAGAATGGACACACTAATGCGATTTCTATAAAATTATTCATGTTTGTATGTTCCAGGGCAAAACACAAGACTGCAAGAAAGGTATATACGCAATGGCGGCGCGGGATGTGTTCGCGTATCTCAAGTCGCCCAAATACAAGCCATTGAATCTTATAGTGTCTGCCTCCTTCTTTGAAATATATTCTGGAAAGGTAAGTAGCATGAAGAATGAGAATACAAGAATTTCGCATTGAATTTTTCGTTCATTAAAATAAGAAATAAGTAGAAAAGTGTTAGTTGTCGAGTAATCATAATCAATTTGTTTTTTAAATAGTAGAATCATGTATGCACTATTGCTGTGTTGACGTGAAGATTTCTATGTATGTATATTTTGTAGGTGTTTGACTTGTTGGCTGACAAGGCGAAGCTGCGCGTGTTGGAGGACGGCAAGCAACAAGTACAGATTGTTGGACTCACTGAGAAGGTCGTGGACAATGTCGACGAGGTGCTCAAACTTATACAACATGGAAACGCCGCAAGAACCTCCGGACAGGTAACACATACTAATAAAGTTATACAAATCCTTTTTTACTTCTAGCCTTATCTCAAAGTCTTTGATTCGATCCGTTGATTGAGGTATCACGAATATTCTTGGATACATTGTTGAGACTTAACTTTATAATAGTGAAGATATATTAGGCAGTTAATGCATGCGTGTATTGTTGCAGACGTCGGCGAACTCGAACTCGTCCCGGTCGCACGCGGTGTTCCAGATCGTGGTGCGGTCGCCGGGCATGCACCGCGTGCACGGCAAGTTCTCGCTCATCGACCTGGCGGGCAACGAGCGCGGCGCAGACACGTCGTCGGCCAGCCGCCAGACGCGCATGGAGTCGGCCGAGATCAACAAGTCGCTGCTCGCGCTCAAGGAGTGCATCCGCGCGCTCGGCATGAAGGGGCAGAACCACCTCCCCTTCCGGGTCTCCAAGCTCACGCAAGTTCTGCGGGACTCCTTCATCGGCGACAAGTCCCGTACGTGCATGATAGCGATGATATCGCCCGCCATGTCGTCGTGCGAGCATTCCCTTAACACGTTACGTTACGCGGACCGAGTGAAGGAGCTGGGCAGCGCAGACCCGGCCCGACGACACGATGATGCTGATGTAGATATGGACCAACCTCCTGCACATGATCTCGCACAACTGCGCTCACTTAATGTAAGTTATTCTTTGTTTTAGTAGTTATCCTTATGTCTACAAAGCATTCTAACTTTAAGTTTATCTTTTGTAAACTCGTAAATGAATAAGAAATGTAATACAGTATAATTCAAAGTCAAATATACCATTTTCATATGACTAAAAAGATATTTGACGTCTTATAAAATATCTCTGTCGATCCTTTAATAATGAAATTCCACTTTATACAATGATTTTTCAGACAAATGTGTATTTTTCAATGTTTTATATAATTCTAAGTTTTAACATCTACCGGTTGTGTCCGAAAGATACCTATATCACCCTGGTAAACAAACGAAATGACATCAAAGAACCTCGCGTCAATATTCCAGGAGGGCGACATGTCGGCGGAGATGTACACGTTCCACGAGGCCATCGACGAGATGCAGCGCGCCGAGGAGGAAGTACTCGACAACCACAAGGCCATCTCCGACTACTTGCAGCACGCTCTGCAGCGGTGTAACCAACTACTCGCCATCACGCGGGATGTCGACTACGATCAGGATGGTAAATACTCATTTATTATGTGTTCTTTGTCAATTTACGGAATATTGCTAATGATGTTTCTTAAAAAAATTGTTGGTGTTTCTATTAAATTCATTTGCATCAGAAAACATAATGACTAGGAAAGTATCATGTACCCAAAAGTGTGTGATCGTTTTGCTCTCATCTCCAGCGCTTTGTACAATACGCTTCGTAAGGAGAATTTTACATTGTTGGGGCAATAATTGTATTAACAGCCTTTACGTACATTTTACGTAAAATAAATTTATATGTGTGCTTATTGAATGACTTGCGAGTCTGGATGCATGTATGTCTGCATGCGTGCTTGTCTGGCAGTGTCCATGCCAATATGTCCCCCCGCATGGTACGTGAGTGAGTGGTGTTGCAGGCGCCCAGGCCCGCGCCAAGCGACTGCGCTACCTGGCGAGCGACCGCACTGGCACGCGACGCGCGCGACATCGCAGACTTATAGGTTTGGGAGGGATCTCTATAACACCGGTAGAGGACGCGACGCAATAATAATAATACTTCATATAACTTCAAACGTCCACTAGATTTCTCAATCCAATAGTTTCACACGGAAATACAAAAATATCAAACAAAATTCGAAAGCAAATGCAAAAAGCACAGCACATAATTTAAAAAGCTGGCACGAGATAGATGTTTCCAACACATTTTTGTTTGAAATCGTGTTTTAGCTCACAAACACTCGCTGTATTTGTTTTTCGTGTTTGTCATTTCATCTGATTAATAATAATGATTACAAATTATACGGAGCCGTGAACTAAACAGTTTCACCGTTAACAGCGCGTCGTTCTTGCCAATGCTGACGTTCACAGGGATAATTGGTTTCGCTTTGTCAAAATTTTTATTTATTTTTGGTTACAGACCTTGAAAGTATACTTAAAATATTTACTAATCATAAACTGAACTTGCAATATATTGGTTTTTAGCTTTACAAATCAATATATTGCAATAATAACATTCGTTCATTTGGTTATGTTCATCAAAATTTTAATTTGATCTTGCTTTGAGCTCTTTGAAATACTTAATATGTTTTACTAATAGTTAACATGTAACACTCGTCCACTATGTAATATTAATTAAAATCTATCTTTCAATTGCAGCATACGCGACGCAGTGGGAGGAGTTACTGAACGAGCAGTTGTCAGTACTGGCTCAGTCCCGGGACCTGGTCGCTGAGTTCCGAGCCAAGATGCAACAGGAGGAACATATCTCCCGCCGCATACAGCCACCACCGCGGCACCACTAGCGGGTCTACTACACCCACTACTACCGGATCGTGTCTCATCATCACTCATGGAACACCTGTCTAATGATCCATCTCCACCATCTCCGGATGGAGCATGCCATTTATTGAATACGTCGTGAGGTACCCTTCCCGTACCGAATGACATGAATCGTCCACTAGGAGACAGGTCGCTACTACCGGCTTACTTGTTAGTATTACGACGAGATACCTTTAGAACAGACTGACCGCTAGTCGTTTCGTTTTCGCCTTCATTGCAATAAAACATTCTACGGTGCATCTATTTCCAAAGATGCACCTAACTGTCTTGAATGCTCCTTTACAAAATGTACAAAGTGGATGATATTGAAAGTCGGATTAAAATAGGAATTTTGAGAGTGGAGCTTTAGACAAACGATTTGTAAGAAGTTAAGAATCTCGTTGTTCACTTATTAGAAAATCGAATTTTAATTCCTTTGTCGTCTCGACGGCGACATTGCGTGTAGTGCGCGCTAATGCAGCCATAAGATGGCGGTCGGGCACGTGACAACTAGCTGACATAGATGGCAGTGTATCTGTGTATAAAGCAATCAGTATTGAGACAAATTCAATGTTTGGTGACCGTGTGTAGCTGGCCTACTGTATAATCGCTTCAATTTTGATTTGCCTGCGTTTGGGATACGAGAGCGAGTTGTGACCACTTTGTTCGATATTATTGTAAAGCTTAGTATACCGAGGTATGTGCCGTCGTGTTGGAAACGAGAGACTGTTTACTGTACTGTAGTGATTCAAGCACAAATGTTGGCCGAGTGCGATGGTGGGAGACTACACGTGCTATTACGAGTATCCTTAGTAAATATCTAACTTTAGTTTCTGTAATACTTTATACAGTACTAAAGTCTGCGGTGGTATGAATTCACTTATCGACAGTATACGTAATTTGTGTTGAGATTTTGCCCTAACATTTAGTTGTATTATTATATTTAACGGTGTTCGGCAAGTGAATTGATTCCTTCGCGCATACTAAAGATACAAAGTATATGTTAGACATCGGTAGATACGTTTGTCGATCGATACCTAACATGTAATCGAATCATGTAATTGTAAGGTGCGAGACATTACCCTATTAACGATAAGTCACTTATTCTGGATGCATTTAACTTTCGCTAAAGGCCTATTGTCGAACTGTAGATATTTTTATATACCGGGAGATTTGGAAGTACAAACGTGACAGTGAGGCGGTCCCAGTGATTGTGATGTAGTTCCTCATTGGCGTAACTAGGCAGGCGGGGACTCCCGCACTCAGCCAGGCAACGGAATATACGCTAACACTTTATCTGCTTCTCGGAACTTTGTAGCCTTTATTTTACTAGAATTGTGAGTCTAACTTCAAATTATTATGTTAGGGGTCGTTTTTTAGACCAAAATTGCGTTTATTTTGGAGCCATTCTTAGAATAGAGGTAGAAGGCGCAAGCCACGTGCGTTTGTCGAAAGCCCTAGTTGCGCCAATGTTTTTGAACGCGAATGTAACTATAATTCTGTCCATCATAATATAGACCTATAACTTGGTACCTTTTATTTTCACACTTGGCTGCGCTGGATTCAGCCAAGCGTTGTTGATTATTGGCGATGATATTTTTGAGCTTTTACTATAGTTCTTCAACTTGGCCTCTTGCCCATTAAGCCAAGATTGACAGCTTTGACGGATTAGTTACTGTGTTGCTGTGATTGTTTTCATGACAAAATTGTTTATGTGTAATGTGTTTGGCGTAACGAAGTACTCGGAATGTTGTGAAATACTTGTTTTAAAATTAGATATTTTGAATGAAAATTGCGAATTAATACTTTACGCATCGAACGGGGAATGTTTTTGTCTTGATCCTGTAATAGTTAGAAGCAGATAATTTTATTGTACCAGGAGGAAACATGTAAAAGTTCTATGTTAGTTAATTATTTCTTTTCCGTAAATCAACGAAATATTTAACATTGGATTGAGACAAAAATAATCTTTAATGTAATACATATAAAGTAAAATATTGTATAAAAGTTGAGTATCATGTGATCGGTTAACATATCTGTTGCATATAAAATCGCTTGTTATCCTCTCGTTGTGAACTAAAACGACGTCCTGTTATAATAATTAAAATATTTGTGTTTCAAGTGTATGTGTGTATGACAGACTATTGACAATCTGTTTACTATGTTTTTTCATTATTTATGAGTTTATTTTCTATGTGTATGTCTTAATGATATTATTAAATATAACTTAATTTTTTCTAACTTAATTTTTCTTTATTTCTCAATCTCTTATTTCTTATGTTACTCTCGACTGACTGACTGACTGACTGATCTATTTCCCGACTTTTAGACAATTTACTGCTTAATCGACTGAAGATATTCACGTCATACTTTTTTGAATAGGATATTTATTTGGACAAGGCTTGACTGTGACGTGACTACTTCGAAGGCAAGTTTGATGTCTGATAAGTTTTATAGATACGCACACTTGAAACACAAGTATATGTCACAGATTACGTAATTATATGAGCATAGTTCGGCTAGAAATGTAAAAGTTGGTTGTTAAGTCGTAGTGGGCACCTGTAGGGACAATATTCAGAGTTGTGAAACATTCCAAAACATGAGATTATTACCTATACAAACACAATTTACTCTAGAATAACGTTCAGTTTGATTAGAACATAGAAAAAGTAATTTTATTGTGAAAGTTCAGAGTTCAAATTACATTGGTCGTTAGCGGTGGCATTTATGTTAAATGTTGTCTTGAAATATTCCCCACAGCTGTCCATTGTTAAGCTATATCTTTCAATATGTTTTCAAATGCAATCTTATGTTTTCCTTCATATTTTGACTTCGAACATTGGCGTGAAAATGTAGCTATTTGTAAAAATTATCAAGTTATATCATGTCTTGACGGAACATTTAAGATTTAATATATTATTTTTATTAATCAGTATTTTAACTTTCATTTTTACACATTAACTGATAATTCCTACATATGGTGCTTGAATTCGCTAGGCCTTCAACTAGGCATGGTATAACTCGATAGATGGCTGGACTAAGGAGTTTGTTGCCGTGCATAGTGCCGCATCTATTGTACCGGGTTCTTTTTGCTAATCTTGGAAGGAGACTCGTCATCACAGCTTGTCAATGCTTTATTTAATAACCGCTCAGGATTATGCGCATAGGCAGTGATTTAACTTTGAATAAAACGGGCGGGAGCAAAGCTCTCACTCGCATTTTTATGTCTTTTTCACATTTCCATATTACTGTGTCAAGTTAGAACTAAAGAAATATTGCAAGTTTAGAGAATTCGTGTTGCTACGTTTAGTGCAATCTGACACAGTAATAGATTTGTGGCTTATTATTGGACGACTAGCATGCTTAGGGCTGGTGAGATAAATTTCTATACACAGATATTTACTCTTACCATAAATATTGTAATTTATTTTATAAAAACATCATTGTCCTTTAAAAATCGTAAAACAACTCATTTTTTTTTAATATTAATAAAAATAGTAAAACTACTTAAAGACTATGTAACTATGTAAGTTTTTCAAGTCAGTACATTATAATACTTGATGTTTTGTAATGGACTTATTTATTATGTTGTGATAGTACTCGCATACTTTACTACTCGAGTGTAGTCCCGCGACCTCACGTGACGTCACGCCCGCTATCTTCCATTCTGGAATGGACGCTTGGTATTCCAATGATTATGTATATCCATTGTATTGATCGAGTTCACGTTGTATGCTATGAATCATAGAATGGAATATAGAGCGTTGTGCGCTCCAAATATGCGTAAATTTTTTGTTTGTAATTTGATCTAATAACCACAATTTATTATGTCTGCGAATAATAAATAAACGTAACCCGAACGTGTTTTGTCGTTTAATATCTGCTCATCTGGTGCTAGTGTAGACTTTGCTTTTAACCTTAACCCCTGGGGTCCTTGAACTACCTTATGTTCGCTTTTATTTCAAGAAGATAACGATAATTTTAGTTTCATTCTTGTCGTGAATAGTGCGAGAAACGTGGACTGTGACCGTTACTGGGAAGAATCGCTCGGATATTTCCATAGAGTATAATCTAAAACAGTTATGTCATGAGGAGCTAGTTACTTCCTTGGGATCATTGGTTTCGTGGCTAGATCTAATTCTAAATTCCAAGTGACTATGAACTCTGTATGCAGTGATGTTTGAGTCGATAGTTGTGTGAATATGCGAGCGTATTCAAGCGGCCCACATCCGCGGCTCTATTGCCCGTTCCGAGGAAACTATGTATACTGTAGCTTACAACATATTTAGATAGCGCTTATTAATTAATAATTAAAACAAATCGGCACTCTGTATCAGAGTGGCTGCTGCGCCGATGTTTGATCGTACTGAACAAAATCTCTCTTACTATAATTATTATACTTTTTTTGAATAATTGTAATAATATCGTCGAGATTGTAACCGCGTTGGGATGAATTAGTTTTTGTATAGAAGCGTTTGGATAAATGAACAAGTGTTGAATGCTGGTGCGGCGTGTTCCCGCTCTAGTTGTCTAGTTAAATGCTTTATTATAAACTTTATTTTAACATCGCACATTATAATAAATTAATCAAAATTGTTTTGATGTTTTATTGTTATGTTATCTCATCAAAATTACCCTTTCGATAAATACCTATTGAAGTTATACTAGAAACTGTTGACTTAAAAACGATCTTAGGTACATTTGTTTGATATTCAGCTGAAAGATAGGTAAAAAATAAAACGCTGTAATATTTCAAAGTACTTAGCATTTATATTTTAGAGCAAGTTTGTACTGGTATCATGGAAATGCAAATAAATAGTCGCAAGTAAATACTGGAAGACAACACAAACTAGACTAATATAAGTACACAATCAAAACTTACATTAATAATATAAACGCAACGATAATAATTTATAGGAAGTTTCACGAACAATCAAGTAGGTAACTAATGGTTTTTACAGAAATGTTTTAGACTGTAACGTGGACCAACGGTTTATAAACATGGAGTATGAATGGTTTGTTCTTTATGGTCAGAACATTTGCTTGGAGTGGACAATATTACAGATTTTAGGCCATACGATTTACATAAAGACATTGATTAACAAAGAAATAATGTATTTATAATCTCCGAAAAGCGTACGCGAGTAAGCCGTGGTACCTTTTTAAGTACTTAGTAATAATCTGTCATGATTACTCATGATTATTTTAAATTTTATATAGTTTTTAACCTCACTGGCCCTTTGTTGTTATTAGTAGGCGGAAAGAACACTGAACTTCAAAATGTATCTTCAAATGATATTTAAATATAGAATAATCAAGTTCTGTTTAAATTAAATACAGAAAAATAATTAAATTACAATACAATACAATTCAATTTTTTAATACATAAGTCAATAAATTATGGCAAAAGTATTTTAAATCAATAACATAATGTGATACAATTTAGTATAACCAGAAATAGCACGCAAGTGTTTCAACTTAAAGTCGAATTTTGTCTAATACTACTACTATACAAGACAAATCAACAATTTGTCAACTACCATTGTCTAATTCACTCGACAATTTGTGCAATCCTAATTTAAGAAATAAATAAATAAAAATATCACAGCACATACATAGTGATGTTCAGAAATACTAAAAACGATGTTTTTAAAGTTGAATGTGGAAAAACTATTATTATGTTTTTTCTTTTTTTATTGTTATTTTTTTGTGTACGAGTTGAGATTAACTTGCCTGAAATAAATACATGGACAGTAACAAATCGATTACAGAAGTAAAACATACCTAATTTAATTTCACGATTTACAAGCATTCAAATGTAACATGCATAAATAAATGCTGATAATATTATGACTGTACACGCCAATTTGTTATTTATTACGTAGTAAATAAAGTCGTTTATGAATGCATACATTTGTGGAAGCACTATTGTGGTTCTTGCGATAATAATCTCGAACAGAAGTACATAATATCTCAACTCTTATGTATTGTAAAGGAATGCGGCGACCACTCATATAAGACGATCTCTTTGGTTAAAGTTATAAATATACAAATTATCCTAATAAGTTTATTTTAATCGTAGCCCGAAGAATAGAAATCAACACAAAAATATATCATGATATTTTGTACAATGGTTTGTTAGTAAAAAAATAAAATATTAAAACCAATTTATCTAATAAGTCACTGTACATTCATTTGATTTTATATCATAGAATATGTATTGTTATAACGAGTGCATATGGCTACTTACAACTACCTGCCAGCAGGTATTCTTTATTATGGAAGAAAACATTCCTACACTTTAGCAACTAATCGAAATGCACCACATTTCATATTTAGGTAGTACCTATTTACACAAATTTAATTATTATGACAATCTTTATAACCAAGGATATATGAAATAAACATCGTCTAAAACCTACTTGTAAAAGACTGATAAATTTCGCGAAGTTACAATTAAATTGAGGTATCAAGGCTAAGGCATTCTGATTTCATTAACATCATCCAGTTAAAAATACATAAATATCCTGTCACACATCTAAAATCTAACCTAGATATTGATCAGACTTCTAAACAAGACATTCACATAATAAATACTATTTATAACGAATCAACAGGGAAACACAACTCAATTGTAATCATTATTTTATACTTTCAAATTAAGTGGTGTTTCTTCAATTTATACCTAGTTGTTATTCATTTTTGTAGTCCTGCAATGTGTAGTTCACGTTCAGAGCATGTCCTCTTCGAATCCTTCGCCTGTAAGTATGTGCGGCTCCCCGATGGCGGGCACCATGTGGGAGTATTCACTCGTCGCCCATAGGTACAAGTTTAGGGTCCGTTCCGTACATTGCGCGATGAATCTGGAGAGGAAATTAGACAATGACATAAGTTAAAATTAAATTCTATTGGCTTTTTTTAGTTTAATTGTTGCCTACTCTCATTCATATTTTATTTTCGAAATGTAATTTTGTCAAGTTGCAATAATTGAAAGTTGTAAGTGATCTATGTCGGAATTATTTTGTGTAATCTTCGAAAAATAAGTGAAGTGTTGAGGAATTCAGTACAAAGTGCATTAGCTCAGAGTGTGGACATACTTGTGTCTAATAAAAGGAGGGCCTGTAATAATTAGACGGCGGATGTTTGCAGGCACGTTGCATGACATACTATTACTATGAATTGCTACTTTAGCAATTAACTGTAAACTATGGTACACATTTACACAATATCCTGTTCAAACAGAAAATAACGTATTTCGGTTTTATGTTTGTAAACATTTGGATAACAAACAATAGCTACAAATTATATTCTATTATGAATGAAACAATCTCTCCATATTTAGAGTATGTGTGTCAAGAAAGTATTAAAACAGGTACATTATAAATTACAGGAAAAGTAATCTAATGTGTTCATAGCAATTACTTAGATAGGAATACCACTTAATTTCTATGATGAAAACAAAAAGTGTCATCTATATATATAAAAGAAAGTCGTGTTAGTTACACTATTTGTAACTCAAGAATGGCTAAATCGATTTGTATGAAAATTAGTGGGGAGGTAGCTTAGAACCAGGAGACGGACATAGGATACATTTTACCCAATCCTTTTTTTTACTTTTTACCGAAAATCAAGAACGGGAACGGGAAATATCGGGATTGCGCGTACGAAGTCGCGGGCAGAAGCTAGTAGTTAATAATTAGTAGTTTGTCTTGACTTACCTAACAAAAGGTCGGACATCTCCTTCATTGGCAGTCTGTAAATGCTGATAGTAGAGGTGTCTGTGCTGCTTGGCAATTATCACTGGTGGGTATCCTGCCTGCATTAGTAGCAGGTTCATGAGCAACCGGGATGTGCGACCATTGCCATCAATGAATGGATGAATGTGGACTAATTTGTAGTGGGCTAGAGCTGCATATCTGGAATATGGAGATGTTATTCTTTTACTGGCTTGGAATTACACTTTTTATTTTAAATATTATGGTTTTAACCAACTGCCTAAGGACTGTATAGAAGTTATTACTAGGAGTAACAGAATTCACAATATCTTAATATAGTCATTATATTGCTCTTACTTAAGCCTTGACTGCTGACAGAAACCTGTTGAAGGCAAATCCTCCGCTAGTGTCTGCCACCAGTGACTGACGTGGCAGTTAATATATTAATAAAAAATAGTATTAATAGACATATGTTATAAGCCTGTTATACTCATAAGAGTATAATGTAAGTTATAAGAATACATACATACCTATGTAAAAACATTCATAACTGTTATTTGCCACTGAATGTCAAACAACAGTTATAATAAATAAGTAGAATAAATAACTGTCTTACCTGACAGGATGCAAGTCTAGAGCATCTTCAGAATTCAACCATTCTAGGAACTGAATCATAAGCCTCTGTATTTCTGAAGGTCCAGGAGGAATGTGACCCCCAACATACACCTGTGTCCTTCTAAACTGACCTCCTTCTATGGGGTCAACATGACCCAACACTCTTTTATGAATCTCTAAAATGTCACCCATTGTGATTGCTCGTAAACGGTACAACAAAGTCGCATTAATGTACTTCATTGCTGCATCTAGACCTAGGATTTCATTGTGCTCATCTATACTTTTCCCAGAGACTGCTACTCTGGTTTCTAACACACTCCGTGTTTGTTGTAATGTCATGGTGTTGCCTTCAATGGCTACAGTGTGGTATATGTGCTGGAAGTAAGCCTCTTTCTTAGCTCTCCGTAAAGCTGAGTTACTCTCTGGTATGGATGATAGTGCATCTCTCTTCTCGTCAATTTTCCTCAACATCTCTCTGTCCAAGTTCTCCACTATGCTGGCTGTCCTCTGCCTGTTCTCCAACGCTCCAGTGTGCTCAGGATAATTTGTTAAAGCTAATGTGTACAGCTGATCTGCTCTCACAATATCCTTCTTAGTGTCTTCTAAAAACTCTCCGTAGTGATTTAATATGTCTGCGTGTTTCGGTGACAGGGCGAATGCATGTTGAAACAATTTCAATGCTTTGTCATCTTTACCAACCTTTTTCATTTCCAACGCGGCATTTAACGAAACGACTGCTTCAGCATCGCGAGTTTTATCATACGGTTTCCGAGGGGGCGGACTTGGAGTTTCTTCCAGAATAGGCTCCAAATAGTTTCCATACAAGCCATCTGGTATGGGTGCAAATGGTTTGGCGAATTTTGCTTCATGGTTTAACAATTTGTGCAGCGATATGACAACGGCAAGGGTACACACCACGCTCGACAAGATTACCACAGTTTTACATCTATCTACAATCATTTTTGTGTTAATTTTTAATTTGCAACCACACTTCATGTCTTCAGTTTCGTGAGGCCTACCTATAAACAACATAATTACGCCGTTCACTGCACCATATGTTCTGTGATAAAATCTCTAGATTGACTGTAAATGATTTAAATTTCATCGTGTATTGCAATAATATTTCTAAACTCTAATAATAAAAAACCACGTAAGGTCACTGTTGACAGTTTTGACATCAGAATTTGACAGATGACAGAATCTGTCAATGTCAAATAAATGTCAAAGTTAAAGAGTGTTGCAACTAACACAAAAGGTTATTTTAATAGTAACCTCCTCTTTTTTGGGAAGTTAGCTAAAATTTGTAAAATGTTCCCATATTTATAATTTAGGGAGATGATTTTCTAAACTCAATTATGTAAAGATGAAAATCATTTAGACTTTTGATGAATTTTTATCTCAGACATATTTGAGAACTAGCAACACAGAAATACGTCGTTGACAGTTACGTTCCAAAACACACAGTATACTTTGACTGTTGTTCATCGCTTGAATACTTCTACTGTTTATAACATATTATACAGATACCTCGCTGGTCAAGAGGTCACCAAAAATACGGTTAAAGAAGGGGGTCTCGGGTTATATTTCTGGGTCAAAGGTTAAGGTTGAATATCGCATTTAATTCTGTACGCCTTTACTACCCTTCGGTAAATAAGATGATTGATGTTGTTTTATGTTTATAACTTTTACTGATACAGCTTCGTTGGCCGAGGGGTCACAAGTGCGACTGCCGGGCAAGGGGTCTCGGGTTCGATTCCCGGGTCGGCCAAAGTATTACTGGGTTTTTAAAAATCTCAGTAGTAGCACGGAGTCTGGAAATGTGTCCGGTATATGGCAATAGGCTCACCCCGTATTACATGGGACTCATAACATAAGTGGTGAAAAGTGGGTGTTACATTGTACAGTCGCATTAAGTGCCGTAATGTGCACCTCTACCTACCCTTTCGGGGATAAAATGGCGTGATGTTATGTTATGTTATGTACAATGTAGGTGTACATAGACGTACGTAAAGACGTTTAATAAATCGATCTTTGTAGCCGACAGCGAGAATTAGGTTGGTAGGTAACTTTTTTCACTGCTATTTGCCAATGATATATTTTTATTAATGCCAATAGTTTAATTTCTTTCGTATTTTATGCAATAAAATAACCTCTGTCTTGTATTTTTTATTTTTTTTTACCATTCACGGGACTACAGGGTCCCAATCATTTGTGAGGCGTACGAGGGGCCGAAGCCAACTGCGCAGAGGCCCTTTAGACAACTTTAATCTAAATGTAATGGACACACACAAACATATTTATATTTATTATTATAATCTCAGGACCGAATATAAAACTTTTTTTTTGCGTGGCGCTAGTAGACAGATTCCTGTCTACCTATAGTTATCTAGATATTAAGTTTAAATAAATAACACCATAATTAATCATAATAATCATTTATTTATTTTAATTTTAATACTTTTTTCGTTCTCTCACGGCTCAAATAAATAATAATTCCACATAGACACTCAGATCATTTATGAATAATAAGTAAACAATAATCACTAACAAATATTCACATGATTTGATTAAATAAATTTATTTCTAACTAAACTTAGTTATATAAAATTATATTACTTAGAACTAACTTAACAAACCCTCTGCCAATAAGGCATAAGCTGCTTGATGAGTAAAAGCAGTCATTTAATCATGTTCAATCGAAATCGAACTTGATTAAATGCAATACGTTTAAGCTCAGGTTTAATCAACGCGCGATACAATAAAATTGGAGTTTTACGATCGCGTGTAAGTTGCTGACTAGACAATCGAGTCGTCACAACGATAGAACATCGGGAACATCGTCGCTCGGAAGTTCGGAAGACACATCAAACATTTCTTCGAACGTACGCAGCGCTCTGCTACAACCGACTTTGATTCGACACCAAAAACGTCGTAAAAGTTGCGTGCTCGTAACTTCCTGCGGTCAAGGAGCATTTTCACGATTCTGTTCTGCAAAATGCGTTGGCGAGAGTCTATACTACTTATTACTACACTTAGCGCTATACTATGGCAGTATTGCAGGAAATTAGAGAGCATACAACATGAGTTTCATAATATCAAGCAGCTTAGTGGGCCCGCTGCCTCACACGCCTAACCGACGGAACGGCACTGCTAACGATTGGCAAGATTAATTCATAGATAGTGCTATCCATACTGTTAGTTCCTGGCAAGTTAAAATTAAATTTTCTATAAATTCGATATCGTAATATCAAGCCTTGTTTCATACAATGTGTTATTTGCTCCTCAAATAACTCGAAAAAGGCTCGTGTTAACATCTTAATACTATGCGCGTATAGTCGCGCCTGCTTCAGAACCTTACGCTAATTATATAATTTGGAACGATTCTCTCACAGCGTTTCTCTGGGAAACAATTCGTGCGACCAGCGCCTGACACACCTACATCCCTGCCGAGTCACTCTATACAGTTTAATACTATGATTTTATAGAAAGTGTACAGTAACGTACATAGTGAAACAGACTTCACAGCCTGAATTGGAACTAGGACAGTAATGCATTTGTGAACGATCCTTACATTTTTATCGGTGGTATCATGCTATGTAAACTTTGATTTAGATTAACAATAACCACTACAACTAAGACTCGTGATCTATTGCATTTGTGTTTTACTTACAAAAGATATTCTTCCATTCAAACAGAAAATACTTAATCTAGTCTGAATACAAATCGATTAGTAACAATAACATTTCGTACATGTTAGAATAATCCGAACATGTCCGTCCTACATACACGGTAGTTAACGATCAATATTATAAAAAAATGTGAAATTCAAACCCCTTAAATAATTTAAAATTTACACAGCATGCCAACGGGATAGTTTTATGATTTATTTTCTTCTCCAGTAGTTTGTTGTTTAGTCGATTAACGGCACATGGAGTCGACTATGATCATGGTGGAGTATAATGAGCAGCCGAGGGCTATCATGGTGCCCATGGCTATACTCGAGTGGTAGGCCCTGAAAGTCCTCAGGACACGAAGGTAGCGGGGACAGTGTGCGAGTTCACCTAGAATTAGGCGACCGACCTGTAACAACGAAAAGACATGATTTAGTAAAGAAAAAAAAAACATCAATTAACAAAATTTATATGTCGAATGAAAACAACGATTATATGTTTTGCGTCTGTTCACGGAATTCTATAAGGAAGTATAACTTTAATTGCTGCGATGTTTAATTAATCAAGTACTACTTCACATCACAATTATTATGATATAATCATTAAACCTACTTATTGAGTTTGGCATTGAAAACGTGGAGTGTGTCGCCTAGCTAGAAGTGCATACCAACTATTGCTAAATATACTATAATAGTAACGTTATTGCTACACTAGTCGTATTCTATTATTTTTACGACGTAGACTATTATCACTCAGGTACTCCTCAATACTGCACGAAGCACGTCCACGTGCATATAATGATTCACTGAGTAACCAAGTATCTATACTATAAGTAATTGTATTCAAAGCAAAGGCATCAAGTTACCATGCCATGATGTCAAGGGAAATATTTCTAAATGTTCTGCTAACGCGGCTTTACAGTTCAAATTCTAACGGTTTTTTTATTTAATTCATTTTTTCTTTGGTATTTTTGCTACAGATTCATGTTCTATTTCATATATTTTTACTAGGTCATGACTATGTATATAGTATAGAATATAGATTATGTTTACCTCTTGTCCGCCACCTGCTGCTTCCTCCATCTGTGTCTTGACATGCTTGGCGCGCAGCATGGGTCGCACCAGCTGCAGGCGCACGAAGGATTCAATGCTGAATACTGCTAGCAGAAGTGCTAGCTGAAACAACCAGAATAAAAGACCATTAGTATTATAAAGAAAACAAAACATCAAGTAGGTAAATTGGAGACTTTGTGATTGACAGCTTGTGGTTAATTAGTCTTCTAGAAACTTCTACAAGGATCTGCTGTCCCCTCATTAACAACGTTTAAACTGTGTGTGAAATAATTCCACTACACATTGACCTAACATGTCAAAATTATCTATATTATAAATCTACTTTCTCACATCCGGTTCCGACAATAAAAGGACCATTAATTTATAATCTGTCTTATCCAGAGCGAGTTAATCCGACCTTTTCGTTCAACCTTGCATTTAAGATTACACAGTACTTTTTATATTTAATCGGTCACCGAAAAAAAGGTCCAGCATTAAACGTGGTACCAAGGTTTTAACCGTCTCTATGCAATTACAATCGTGCCTAATAAATTCGATATTTTATTCTGTATAATAATGTAATTATGTTGAAAACTTTGCAGAATATTCAACAGTGCATTTGCAAATTACATTGTAATTGCAACATGTATGAATTCATACATCATAATAAATCTATAATTGAGTATTGATATGTTACATTACCCACGTTATTATTTCTAATCACGTTACAGTTAGTATTTCATAGATAATTCGGTACAAAACATAATTGCCTCATCCCCTTTTAGAAGAACTATCATTAATCATGACTTTGGACAAAGGCCGTGCGAATTAGAATTTAAAAATTGTATTGAGCACTTAATATTTGTTCAATTGCTGTACTCTGACCCTGACATATATAACAATGAAATATGTGTATTTAAATAGATATTAGATAAATAGGTAGTAAACACTTAAACTGCAAAACCGTGGAAGGATATGAATGCAATGTTCGTATTTTTAAATACATTGCGGTTTCAAGTTTGTGTTAACATTACTTCTTTCGTCAATTAGAAGAATCAGAGGTAAAAATTTCAGAAATATTTTGTACTAAAAATAGCATTATAATCTTCGGAACTGATTAATGTCTTACTAGATATTAGAAGCGATACTTAGTGCTTCCAATTATAAATTGGACTTACATAAAACCGTGACCTGATTTTATCATTGGAACATTTTGAGGCTATAAATATCGAAAATTCTAGCCCTCTGATTATCATATTATAATGAAATACCAATAAATTGATTCCAGCGCTCAATAAATCGTTGTAATTGATAGAATGTGTGAAGACCCCTCTCAAGATAACGGGTCGTAATGTGTCCGGACATTTAATCATTTGATTTATACTTGGTACAAAGAATAAAGTTCTTATGAAGCTAATTGGTATCAGTTATGAAGTTGATTGGTACAAACGGGGAATAAATTCTAGTATTTATTGCTAGTAAAATGTCTGATAAAGTAGGTGGAAGTTTTCCTGTGTTATGGCCCAAAGGTAGTAAATTTGCCAGATGTGTTCTTATATTCGGAAAACTGAAAATTTTCAGTTTTATGATCTTAGAGATACTTTCGAAACAATATGGTGTCCTAAAATATTCTTATAGTTCCTGGTTTATCTTGATTTTCACTTTATCAAGTTTTAAAACATGAATAATAAATATGTTAACTTTTTTTCACATTAGCTAACTTTACCGTATGCCAAACCAACTTTTACTTCTCAAGCATGCAAAATGTCCAACAATCAGAAACTACATAATTTCAATTAGTGTCAATGACAATCAGTCAAGTGCAAACTGCGTTGGCGCCGTTTGATTATATTTACTTAACGTTTTATACTTGTGACCTTTTGTTCATGTGTTTAATAGCATATTGGTACTACCAAGAACTGTGTAATGTGTAAGTAAGTGCTAATTTATAATGCAACCAAGAACAGAAGATGTGTAGAAAGGAACCAAAGCTTTTTATTGGTCGATTCAATTCCACGAAGGAGCAAGTCATTTCGTTTTCTCATTACTAAGAGTTGCTTGCCATGTAAATGACTGGGGATACCGTTGTAGAGTCCATGACATGACACGTATAATAACTTTAGTAGATGAGCTGTAGATCACTGACAAGACAAATAAGACAGATCAATTAAGGTGTACACTACAGTATAAGCATGCATCTTAGAGACTAAGATATAGAATGCATGGAGCTTTTATCCATATTTATTTATTTAAGAACTATAAAATTATTTTGTTTTATAAAGGTTTTGATGCTCACCTGTACCCAAGAAGTATGTTCAAAGTGAGTGAGGCACTGCGTCCTGTAGTAAGCAATCAGAGCCAACAGGCTGATGACCGCGTTGAAGGCGTAGTACACGGGGAACAAAACTGTTTGCACTCGACCGAACTCATGTCGCGGCAGGTTGAAGTATAGGACTATACCTGTGGAAAGATAATAGTTATTAGTATTTAGGATGTAGAGAAATGTGAACTTAAATGTCTAAAATTTAAGGGATAACGTAGGAAAAGGTATTTCTCGTGTTATGAATGCCAGAAGTTTTTTACGTGGAACTTCGAATACAATTTTCCTCAATCTAAAAGGCTATCAGTATCTTCTGCTAGCTTTGTTTATCTACTAAGGATACAACTACGATTGATAATACTGACTAATATGGAGTGAAAGCAAGCAGTCATCCACTCGATTTAAGAGTATTTACGTCATTGTATGTGAAAACTTTCATGTGATTCCCACGTGTTAAAGATTTATTGTTCATACTTAATGTTTTGCACGGACTGATCTTTGATAGATTTTCAACTCTATCGTTTTGTCGTAAAACAGAAAGTCTGTTGAAGATGTTTGCCAGTTTCGGGTAACCTGTTATTTGTAGACATGTCTGCGAAGTCCACAAATATTTGCCCCTATGCGGTAGTCAACCTTTGTGGCCCTGAATGAGGTTGACGCTCTCTCTTGTGAAACACAAAGCTATACCAAACAGTCAAAACTATTTGATACATTTTCACTTTTATTATTTTGTGACAAAGTTGAAAATGTATTGAGCTAATATCATGTAGTTTGATGTGCTGTTGTCTTTGCTGTGCCCTAGTAACTGGAGATAAGTCATGAAAGATTTGCAACTCGTGATCTTTTGCGTCACTTTGGGATTTTCGTTTTTGTTTTATTGACAGCACGACACTGTCTTTTCTTTGATAAAACTTTCTTTGTTTCGGATTAAATATCAGTCGGAGTCAGTTTGAACGAGTTTTTGTTAAGGCAGTGGTTGAGTACCAAATATCAGTTAATCTTTTACAAACATTAACCTTATATCTATAGTCCTACACATATGTATAAGCTCATTTAAGTTAGGTGTTGTGAATGAACACGTGAAACTGCTTATACGTGTCTAGATCCCATTGCAATCCTCGAGAGACAACTAAGGTTTTTTAAAGAGTATAAATTATCGTTTGGACCTTTTACATAATATAATTACTTATCTAATCTACTATAGATAACTGAATAGAACGAGGAACAAAATACCTAAGGTCATTTTGTTTAAAGCTAGGTACTAGCACCCGGAATGATCTGCGAATCGTAGTTGCGTATCAATCACCCATATTAAACGTCACTTTAAATTGTCCAACACAGAGGATGTTGACTGATTCGAAATAAACAGGCCAATTCATATGTAACTGGTTTATTTAATAATCCGTTTGTTTGATTATGGTTGTACCACATGTACTTTCATGTTAAACTACATGCCATTGAGTACCTATCGTTCAGAAACGAAGTGTAAGTTTATGGATTATAGTATAGGTATCGAAATACATACTGAAGTGAAAAAAAATGGCTCAAAAAGATAATTTCAATAAGAAAAAAAAACGGTTGTAAGTCGTTAATACATAATGATCGTGTTCAAAAGTCCTTGTATATTTTGTTGCACATTTGTGAAGTGTCAAGAGCTGGCTGTCAATTAACGACCGCCATTGTGCAAGCAACGGTATGTTGTTCATTATGCCTCTGTTTTTTTTTCTGACGCTATGGGCGATGGAACACTTTTTAAAAGTATTCTCGGAAGAAATTCTCAAAACCACTGCAGGTTTACTATCTGAATAGTATTCATCTGAACAGGTTTGTTATTTAATCGAAAATATTTTTCGATTGGAACTTGAAGGATCTCTTTTTGTTTGTAAGGAACGGTAACTCAGGACTAAAGTCATGCAATATCAATTAGTTCTCATTACGCAATTACTTAATTATTTATTGTAAGAGCAGAGGAATCTCGTTTAAACAGGAAGGCTTGAGACAAATTAAATTCGACTTAAAAATCAGAGGCGAAAGTTTCAAATTACTTTGAATGGATCAGGGCATCTTTTTTATATCGAACCATTAAAATGCTAACCAGTACGTATAATTTTGTTCCTGAATGAAGCTTATTTTTTTAAATTTTGAACTGCAACGACCACCACTTATGCAAGTTTGTGAGTGATTGAACTTAGTGACTCCTTGAATACTTTTAGAGTCAGTATTTAGTGAAGTTAGACTTATTGACTTTAATAACTTAAATTGCAATCTCATGATGCTAGTCTGTAATTTATATAATGAGGAACCATGCTTCTGTAATGATTTTAAGTGCATTATATTCTATTAAACCTGTTTTTTAAACGAAAAGAGGTTATCATCATTTAGCAAATAATTATTGTAAAAAAGGCCACTCAGGAAAATCGCTTCGTTTTGAAAATCGAACTATAATATTGTTTGTCAGAGCTTTTCAAAAACGGAATCAAATTGATAGTTTTTTTTTTCTAAGCTACCAGCCTGATACATAATGAAAACAAGTCCGATGACATATCAACAGCCAGCAAATGAATACTGGCTGATGTAATAACAAAACACAAAGGTATGACAACAATGGTAAACACTAAATATAAAGCAACAATAAATTCTGCTTACTACACGTGTACAGCGGAATGGCTAGAATAACGACATACGTGATCAACTATTTTATGTATTTGTAATGAAGCGCTAAATTAGTACTAACGTGTTCGTGATTGGTTTCTGTAAAGGGTAATCTACAAAATCTTGATTACTAGTATAATCGTGCTGCAATAAAATGTATAAAAAATTAGAAACATCTTTTAAATATATCCACGTTTTTAATATCTTTACCCAGTATTAAAATTATATAACCACTCTAAACGTTATCGAAACAGAAACCCTAACGTATCAGAGACTTCCTCCTTCTTCAAATACAACCTTCTTTTATAAAAACTGGTGTTTCTCAACGACAAGTCGGTAACTTTTTATTGGGCCCTCGTTCCTTCACGTGCGTAATACGTAATGCGCACGCGTGATAGACTTCTTCGAAATTTGAACGAACGGTTTCTGAACTCCAATTTGTAATAAAAAAAATATTTCTGACGTATGACAGGGTTTTGATTGATAAATCCAGACTTCATTTTAAGACCTAGACCCAGAGACTAAATTAACAGACATTTCTTGGCACTCTCAATCTTTTTTCAGCTTTCAATGAGTAAGGGCATATTTTTAGAAAACCCAAAATAAAGGAACGGTGTTAAGTAACTTTTGGCAATCAGTAATGGTGAGCATTTGTGTTTTGTTGTCACCTTTGTGGATGTCTTTCTACTAACATTTAGAATGTCCTAGAATGAAATATTAGACACTATAATTACACATTTATAACAGTCCACGGGTCTAACCAAGAATGTGGTAACGACCTTTACTTTTTGAAGGCACATAGCCATAAAATACTGACATTCAAGAAAAGAGGTAGACCTTAAGAAGCCCCAAACTAGTGCAGATAAACTCCCAAAAAGGCTAGTAACGTTCTTGTAAAATCTCTGGTGTTGCGAGCGACGCTGGTTGCTTACCATCAGGTGAACCGTCTACTAATAAAAGAAAGAAATCTTACCCGAGACCAGGGTCATCCAGACTTGTGCTCCGAAGTGTGTCGCGACAGATGCTACGTAGAGTGCTCTCCAGCCACGGATGGCGCTTATGGAACCGTTTCCTGGCCGACTGAGCCATGCTAGGAGGACCACCACTGCAAGGGCTACGTGGAAGGGCTGCGTCGTTTTAGTGGCGATACTGTTGACAAGAGAAAAGGAGATTTAGAACACAGAATATTGATATAAAACTAGTTTATGGTTAAAGGAGATACGAGTGACTAAATCACATTGATATTTAAATTCATTTCGTTGGTATTGTTGTTATTTTTAAAAATGTGTAAAAAAGGTTTTTATTTAAAAACAGTGTGTTAATTTTCCCATTCTACGCATTCGTTTTATGGTTTACATAAGACTATTAGTAAGTAAATGCAATAATATCGATTTTATACACAAAATTGCAAGTAATCACTCTTATAAGCGTGTAAAATGGTGTTTCTATAATCTCATCTTTAATTATTGAACTGGCTGCTTATAAAATCGACTAATAACCTAATCACATTGGACGTTTGCAATAACAGCCTAATCAAATTGCTGTGGTTTCATAACTCTGCAAGGTTGTTACTAGCCGACGGACGTTGATAATAGAATGTGCTAGGTGCAACTACTATAGCCTACAATAATGCAGAATTTATTCTAAGTATTAAAAATATTGTTGTTAGTTAAAAAATATGTATTTTTATTATTTAAATTTATTTAAAACCCCCGTGTCGGTATTACACGTTTAGTTCTTTTCTTATTTTCTAAATATTCTCGAGGTTGCCACGTGAAAATTTACCTATCAAAAGCCAATATGCAGCGGTAGGTTATCGTAATCGATTTGTACACGTGACCCTAGCAAAAACAATGGTGCCATGAAAATTTAATTTGTACAAGTTGGTGGTTTTCGCGTTTAAAAAAACATATTAAAATGGCGTGACATTATTTACTCGTGCCGAAAAAGTCAGCAAAATTTTAATTTATATCGCTGTAACTATATTTAATCATTCTTTGATTTCACATATATTAAGCCTATGGAAGGTTTTTCTCGTTCTAGAAATGATGATCATTTGATTAAATTATCAATAACCACGAAATATTTAACACTTCACTCAATAATCAAACTACAAATACAATTCGTGTGGACGATGATTATTTTGTAAATAAGAAAGTACTATTTGTACCATTTATTTATTGAATAACCACGAACATTATAGGCGATAATCTATCATGTAAATAAGTAGAGATGAGCCAATATTTCGAAGTGTTATGAAAAGTAAAATGTAAATAATATTTTTGTATAAAATTACGATGACAATGTTAAAAATCCTACTCCACTGCAGTTCAGCTCTATACAAGGATTTAAAAAAGGAATACTTATAAGTTGATAAAACGCATTTTCTCCAAGCACGTGTGTTTAGTAAAACCGTGATATTGAGTCGGCCGATTTAATTGTGATAATAATGACGTCACACTCGATAATATCACGACTAATAAATATTTGCATACATTATCGTGCAGTAGCGTAAATGCGGAATACAAAACAAAGGTAAAATGTATGAAAATAGATTTAAATTAAATAAATCGAGACCGAGTTTGCACGCATGCAAACAGATGCCGTCATTTCTTCTTATTGCCATAGATAAAATAACATGTAAGAAACCTTTTAAATGTTTTTTTTTTTATATCAAGAGCACGGATAACATTCTTTAAGGCCAGTATTTTGTACCTTTGCGCCGTGTACCTAATTATTTAAGAAAATTATTTCAACGTTTAGTGGATTTTTTTCTTTAATTTTAATTCTTGTAAATTGCATTACTTTCTTACTCCAAAACGGGTATTTTTTGCACTGAAACCTGATAAAGTAAGAGTACTAATTAAGATTATCTTAATATTTATCTTTTACTTTTGTGTTAATCCTTGATTTACCTACATTTTGTTTTATAAAATTCATTTTGTTGCAAATGTAATTTGTAAACATTAAAGCTAATTGAAATAATTGGGAATGAGTTATTGCTATCATTAATTAAAAAATAAGTTTACTTTCACACTTCACTTTGCTCATTACAATTCAGCAAAATAAATAAAAACAGTCAGTATTTATTTTACTATAACGGAAGTTCTATATTAACAGAATTCAAAGAAAATAGACGTCATCGGAGAGACATGCAAATATTTTCGTTACTTTGATAAAATGGTCTGAGTAAATTTGTATCTATAGATCCATGGCAAAACAAACATTATTGTTTTCCAGCACTCTAGCCAAATAGCTAGATATAAAGCGCCCTTAAAGATCAAATAACAAACAATATTTATTTGCGAAGTGACAACAAAAATATTTTGAGATAAACTTGTGCTAAAACCTTGTGATTTGGCGATACGCCACTTCATGGTACGACTTTGATATTTTTACCCGAATACGTAACAAAGTCAATAAATATGTCTGTTTATTTTGTACCTATGTATTTTATTACCATTTATATTTAAAGGTTTGTTTAATTGGGATTAAAAATAAGTATGTATGTTTAAGGAGGATTGACGGCCGTTACCTGTTACCTGATTAAATTTGAGGATAGTGCTCAAATTTTTACGGAATCCTTTAGCCTTAAATTTTACAGAGGACTGACAGGACTTACTAAACGACAAACAAATCTTTGGAATATAAAGTCTTTCGCATTTCATTTGATACTTGTTATAATGAGGTTAAAACTAGGATGTGGTATAGATAATTGCGGTTAGGCTTACATTTACGAACTTACCAAGATGGTCAGTTTTGGCGCCATAACTGTGGCAGTCAGTGTTTTACTTACTACAACACTTTTTTTATACATCAGGTGGATGTTTTACGACTTTTAAAGATATTTGCGTTTTTTTTTGCAATATCGCAAATCATAGACCTCTTTCTTTTGCTCTATCGGTCTGGTCATTACACATCGTAATATCAGCGTGACGTTTATTATGATTATCTTTTATCGATTGGGAATTAACGGTTGCCGACGTGCCTCCACCCACGTGCGTACTTTTAATTAGTACGATCATATGTAGAACTTGTCATTAATTCAAATGATCATTGCCATTTGCATATTTTTAAATGTTTTGGCAGTTGACGCATGGACATTAGTTTTTTTTTTGCACTCATGTTGTTGATGATGTTTTGAATATGATTTGCTGTCTATGGTACAGACTGTATAAAAAAGTTTAGTTAAGTGTCTGTGACTATCTGTTAGTATCTATATATGATATAATATAGTTCCATAAGATAATTTTAACATAATTATTTAATGATTTTTATATGTTATCGAAAAGTAACACCGATTTCCGCCATGCTATTTTGTTTGTTTATTCGTATTATTTTGATTAGGCATTGTTTTGTTTTTACATAGATTGACGTCACAACGAAGTACTTACAATCATCAAAGAAGTTGTTGGTACTCTGCCTACGAAGTGAGTAGTGACATTTCCGTCAAATAATATCTTATTCTTTAAATCGTACTTGGCAACAAGACATTTTCATATAAATGTGTTAAAATATTAATGATGATCTCAGAGCTTTTTTAAATGTAAATTTTCTTATAAATATTTTAATATTTAGACAAGTTCTGTTATGATCTATAAAGTTTATTTTATATTGTCACTGCCTATCGAATTAGGGATTACTTGAGTAGCTTTTTGTGTTTTGTGGTAATTTAATTGTATTATGGCATAAGACATGATGACTAAGTCCATAATTTTATTCTTGATTTCTGTTATCACTTAGATCGCAAAAGGTTATTCATTTTCACAAATAGCCATTTATCTTCATTATCTGTTATTACATTTTGTTCTACATTTATAAGGTTGAAGTCTAAAGTCAAATGTTCACTAAAATAAAAAACAATATATGAGTCAATTTCAATTACATTTTTGATACAACAGCCAAATAGTATAAAATACAATAATAGTATTTGTCACGCGACTAACTAATTATAAAATTTTACAAGAATATATTACCTACATTATATAATTTATGAACCTAATCAGATTCAAATCCTCAAGACAAGTTTAGAGATTATTTTTGTCATTTATCATAATTTATTGAATGTGATGACTTAGATTATAAAAGAAATACAAGTGGGTGTATGCTATTAGCACGACAAATTGGCAATCATTTGTATTTAAGATTAAAAAAAGAAATATTAAATAATTCATTTACTAAATATTACTAAATTAAAACTAAAAAATTAAAACTAAATATTACTAAATTAAATACCTATATACAACTAAAGATTAAAATTAATTATAAGAAAAAACAAAAACAACTATTTACATAAAGCGTTTATTTAGTTTTAATTTTTTTTTTTTTTAAGTAATAGTTAGTTTTTAATTTAAGTTTTTTATTTGAATAAATGAACTGTCCATTCATTTACTGGTAAATCGATTACACATTTAAAAAAGTTCGGCAACCTCTTTGGTTTGTGCAAAATATAAAATACTGGCGACTAAAAAATCAGAGATTCAAAAAAAGAATTCGCGGCGGCCATCATTGTGAGCTGATTGGGTTTTTGTTTACAGATAATGTATTTCTGTTTGTTTCGAGCACGGATATAGAATACAAATTGATTTGCAATGCAATTTGAACTTGAACTTGAAAAATCGGACGATGCAGGTCCAGATGGGCCGGAAATGTTATAAAACTGCATTTCGTGTATTTTATTGCATTCTCGCATCTAGTTTTTATTGCAGATGTTTTCAAGATGTTATGTCTCATCTTTATTTTCATTCTCATGTCTCTGGATTAAAATGGTAAGTAATGTAGTAGTAGTACTAGTCTGATTATTGATATTAGTTTAGTAGGTAAAGGTGAAATACTGAATTTTAGCAGATCAGCAAAATAGAATAAATAATTCCCAGTACAGTCACGTCCAATACAAAACAATACAATACGATGTTTACAATAAATACCTAATGTCATTGAACTGCAAGACAAGAAGCAATAAGAGTCATTATACTCTGACTAAATTGGTACACAGCAAATCAATCTTACAATAAATTTAAGTGTGCTTACTTCCATTACTTACGACCTATGAGCAAATAAAATTCAACCTTAATAGTTATTATACTCATAAAATATAATTAAGGAATTGTTTTTTTATTAAGAAGTGAAGGGGACTTTTATAAAGTAAC